TTGACATAGCTCAATTTGCATAGTTTCAAATTGACCCCTGCTGTGTAGACACATCCTAAGAGAAGTCATATGATGCACAAGAGCTGTATTTTCAAGCCCTTCACTTGTATGCAAGAGAGATGCTATGAATCTCAGTAAGGCACTTATATATTACTGTTGTCATGTGCTGATCAGCAGTCAAATCAGCATTTGCCCTCACTGAACACAGCTAGTATCTGAGATAACATCACATTTCTTTTCTCAGAATAGGAAGAACTTCAGGGTCTCTGATAAAGTTCTGTGGGAAGCTGTTGGTAAATATTGACATTTTAGTAGTAACTAAATCACTACATTTTAAGACTCAGATTGCAAAATCTCTTCTTCATATAGGCCCCAATTTAAGGAAAACACTTAAGCATATACTTAAATTTAGCCCTATTGAGGAGAATACTTTAGTAGAGAGCTACTCAACTTTGGAAACCCTGGGTACCACATGATACAGCACATGCCGAGAGCCGCAACTTAAGTGTGGTTGCATATACATACAAATATGTATGCAAATATATGCAAATAGCTTCTTTCACACTGATGGGCATGAATACAAAGCCCTTCCCACAATGTCTCAGTGCTACCGGCACCTCAGCCCTGAGGGCTAGAAACACTGACACCCTGTACCCGTCTGTTCCAGCCAGCCTGTCTGCTTGCATCTTTCAGTGCTCACCCTGCCTGGGAGATGCCTCACATTGTGGAACATGTTCCCAGTGCAGGCCATGTTCAAAGTCCGCATGTCGAGCCCCATGTAAACCCAAACTGCACCGCAGGCTGCAGGCCACATGCAGCCCATGTGCTGCGTGTTGAGTAGCCCTGCTTTAGAATGTACTCAATATTTAAGCACTTCCTTGAGAGGTATATTTTCTTCTGTAGGAGCCAATCACACACATTATTTCACTGTCTTTAGGCTTCTGTGTAATTTCTCGTGTGTGTGTGTGTGTGTGTGTGTGTGTGTGTGTGTGTTGGGAGGAGGCATGAGGGGGCAAAAGGAGTGTTTCACAACCTGTCCTTAAATTAGGATGACTAGTTGTGTGTATGCATTATTTCTGCAGTATAAATTATGTGTGTGTAATCTAAGTGTGATGGTGTGCCCTCATATTTCTGTTGGAAATGTGTTTTTGAATATGCATAACTCATATGCTTTATGGCAAATGGGTCATGCGACCTGTCATTGGAGAGCTTGTAATCCCCTAAATGTGGATATTTTGTTTGTGTGCATTTATCATTTTTCTGTGTGAAGTTAGAAATGTGAAGTATAAATCTGTGTATTAATCTAGGTATTCTAACAAAAGCCATTAGTGGTATGTAAGAAATGTAATGTCCTGGTGGTGCTCAAGACACTGATCTGTAAATATTCTTGTTTTTCCTGTAAGCCTAAGCCTCTTCATTTTTACTTGCTATCAAATGCACATTGCTTTTTCAGATTTTTTTGCAGTTTTCCTTTTTTCACATAGTCATGGCAGTGGTTAGATTAAAAAACGTAATCTTTGCTAGGTTACAGGTCTTTGCTTATATGCAGAATAGAATGTAATTGTTATACCAGATATCAGTTGAAAATTCTGACCTCTGATAATATTCAATAGAAAGAGTATTTTAAACATTCAAACAAATTTACAAACTGCATCTTACAAAGAATAAAGCATTGGAGTCTGAGAGATGGCACTGAATGCCAAAGCTTTCTTTTGTAATCACTATACATATTTCTAAAAAGTGAGTTCATTTTTTTCTTTACAGGCCCTCTGCATGGTTTCCATTTTTAGAACCACAGAACAGCTCCTTCAGTCTTCTAGGTAGTTAAGTCTTAAAGTGCCATAAAAACACAGTGTAAATATTTCTGTTGCTGGTGATTCAGTTACCACAAAAGGTTGCTAAGCTATTATCTTTGGCAGGAAGTTTGCTTTACCCTCATGAAGGAAAACTGCCAGTCATTTTGAAAATGGTTATGCAAATAATATCCTGTTTTTCCAACTGATTCCCTTGGAGCAATCAAAAATCCTCTTATCCTCAGTGTAAATCTAGATCTACTGAATCTTCCTCATGTCAATATTCCTGAGAGACATTTTTGTCTACGTTCTGGAGTGACTGCAATAGTAAATTCATCTATATTTAACTTACTTCCAGGAGACTGTACTGCAGGGAACCCACTGTGGGAAGACTACTATTGCAAAAGAGGGAGACTATTACAAATATTATATTTATATCATGTTTATTATCAAAAGAACATAGTTAATCTATGATGTTACTGTGTTTAATGGAAGGATACAGAGTGTGACACATTTAGGGAAAAGGAGACAATAAAGTGGCAGAGGTAATCGTGGTAAAATGTAAACAAGTATTTAAGCCTTCAACTGATTAATTGGAACTGTAAATAGACTCTAGGATTCATCTGAACTGTAAATAGACTCTAGGATGGTAGGAATTTTAAACTGTGTGCACAGAGAAAAAGTTTGTTTAAAATTAAAGTATTTCCCTCTTTGGGGTATTTGAAGTCTCTACAGCGTAGATCCTGATTTAGCCAAGCCTTTAAACTTGTGCTTAACTTTAAGCAAGTGGTTAAGAGCTTTGCTGGATCAGGATATTTATTGAGAGTGAAAACCAGAGAGTGAAACTGAATATAGCCAGAAAATGAAACTGATCTGTCTGATCTCATTAAAGACTCAGGCAAATAAGGCATAAAAAGTAATGTGTTGAATTAACATAATGGTAAAAAGTGAGGTGCCACTCCTACAAACATTAAAGTTATATTCAGTAAAAGCTCTGTTATCGACACTCATTTAGCCGGAAAGCTCAATTAACCAGCATTTCTGATATTTCCAAATACAAATCTTCAGTCTGGTAACCAGGACTAGTATACCCAGGACTGCCCAGCACATTATGCAATTGCATATTCTGCACTCTGCTTTTATGCAAGAGGCAGAAGACAAGCAAGCTGAAATCAGGGATTTATCCAAAAAAGCAGGTTCTAGGGTATATCATTAGGCAGAATCTATACTGACACAATCTCCTACACCTTCTCCATCTATATTGACAATTGATCTTGATAATGAGGACCCTGACCCACTGCAAGATCCTGAAGTGCCTTCTGACTCATCAAAGAAAGCTAATTTTAGCTACACTGCGCAACTTTTAGCACCACAGCTGTGTCCATAAATGTTGGACAGTATAAATTGTTTGTCCACCCTTTAGCTGACAAAATACTTCCACCCCCATAAGCAGGGTTCATATTGACAATTGATCTTGATAATGAGGACCCTGACCCACTGCAAGATCCTGAAGTGCCTTCTGACTCATCAAAGAAAGCTAATTTTAGCTACACTGCGCAACTTTTAGCACCACAGCTGTGTCCATAAATGTTGGACAGTATAAATTGTTTGTCCACCCTTTAGCTGACAAAATACTTCCACCCCCATAAGCAGGGTTCACATTGTCGGAAGACTTTTGTCTTTCTGTGGTAGAGGATGTTAAGCAACTTTGTGTACAACATGAGTTTTTCTTCAGCTGGCAGTGTAGATAAAGCCTTAGTGCTAAGCTTTTTTTTGGTAATCTGAACATGCACCAGGCATTAATATGTAGTGTCATAAGAGAAACTACAATCTAGAAAACATTACCTGTGTACGTCTAAGTTCTTGAAGAAACCAATCACTCTACTATGCAGTACTACTACTGAATTAGTGAACACCTGTATACTTTATTTTCTTGTATTCTAATTATTTTTAAATGGGCATTTAATTGATGAGTATAACTTCTCAGTAAACCAGAATATTTGATTAACTGGCACTCCCCATCCTCCCAGCATCCTGGATAGCAGGGCTTTTAGTGTACATGGTTATGACTATCCCATTGGACTACCTGCATGGGTAACATTATACACAAGCTACTGTATTTATTTAGGCATTATTCTAAGTAGAATCCTCAAGTCCTCACTCAGTTTTGCTCACTAATTATTTCCTTGATTTCAATCACTGTTTTGTCTGAGAGCTTCCAGCCACTATCTCTTTATTATTCAAAGTAACTGAGGATTTTTTTTAATCAAATGTAAGTAGATACAAGTTTGGGTCCAATCTTGAACCAAAAACAAACCTCACACTTTAAGCTTCAAATGAGTGCAGTTAACCTTTCAGTTCATTTGTGTTAATTTTTGCACATCTCTGCACTGCCAGGTATTTCTTGTAAATGAAGATTCCAAAATACTTCAGGGAAACATATTTCAGTGTTTCTGATCTCTCTGAAACTGGGAAATAATAAAAATCTCAAAGGTCTCATGAGATCTACTGTGTGTATTCCAAGAAAAAGTTACACAACAAAATATGAAATGACCCATGTCTGAGCTATTCGAGGTTGGCCAGTAGTCACTGATGATACTCTTGACATTGGTGACCATGCACAGACACAGAGCAGCTAAAAGGACAGAAAAATATCCATCTCAATATGGTCATACCATATTATAAGGCTTGAACTTTGGGATAGAATATCCTGTGTACAAGAAGTACCATCAAGGGCTTACACAGGGCCAGCCCACAACATTTTGGCACCTGAGGCGGGGAGCTCAAATGATACCCCCATGCCTCCTTGCTTGGGCCAAAACTTTGAAAGGTCTAAATTCTGCCTTCTTCCTGTTCTACTCCTCTCATGGCACTCCACCATCTCTGTGCATCTAGAGCAGAGAGAATACATATACACCAGTAGCAGACACAATTTTCTACACTCTGGGTCCTAGTGGTGCCCCCCTCCCCCCACTTCCACAGTCTGGCACTTGAGGCAGCCACCTTAGTTTGCCTCATGGTAAGGCCAGCCCTGGGCTTACATCTCTATTGCTGTATCTCCTTCTGTATTAGCTCTGTGTATAAAGAATTGCACTCTAAGGCTAGGTTTGCAACAGTGGCTCAGTATCCTTAGCCTCTCTTCTAAGACTGCCAACAAGGTTGCCAAATGCAATGGAAATAATTGTTCTTAATGTGCTTTAATACTAGGTTCCTTGATAGGGTGCAGAAGCATAATGCTTGAAAAAGGATGACATACATTTATACAAAATACAGCCAGAGGACAAAGATGAGCCAATTACTACTTATTACTCCCATCAGTAATCCCATTAGAATCAGTCTGACTACTTCCGTGAGAAAGGTAAGCACCAATTGACCTGACACATGAAATGTAGAAAGAACACTCAAAGGCTGCGTCTAGACTGGCATGATTTTGCTCAAGTACTTTTAACGGAAAAGTTTTTCTGTTAAAAGTATTTGCGCAAGAGAGCGTCTATACTGGCACATGCCTTTGTGCAAAAGATTTGCTTTTGCGCAAAAGCATCCACGCCAGTGTAGATGCTCTCTTGCACAAGAAAGCGCCGATGGCCATTTTAGCCATCGGGCTTTCTTGTGCAAGAAATTAATGTTGTTGTCTACACTGGCCCTCTTGCGCAACAATACTTGCACAAGAGGGCTTATCCTTGAGCGGGTGGGTCAGAGTATTTGCACAAGAATCACTGATTTTGTACATTACAAAGTCAGTGTTCTTGTGCAAATACTCGTGGCCAGTGTAGACAGGTGGCAAGATTTTGCGTAAAAGCGTCTGCTTTTGCGCAAAATCATGCCAAACTAGACACAGCCAAAGAGAATTTGGGCCAGCCTTTCTTTTGATGGCATGCTGTCTTTCATCAGTCTGTTCAAGTTAAGTTCTAAATTGCCATAATGAAGATGGCAAGGACAAATAAAATATGACTCCAGGACCAGATCTCACTGATAAATCTCTCATTCACTTTAACTGAGCTCCCACTAGAATCAATGGCAGTTTTGCCTGACTTAAGATCAGCAGGATTTGGTCTATATTGATTTGTATGTGTGTGCTCAGAGCTTCACTGAATTGCAAAAATATGAAGTCCATAAATATGCAAAAAATCAAGTCTAGTTGAAATATAGGGATATTTTCTGCTGCCTCTTTTCCAAACATGCTACATTTAGTTTTCACTCATAAAAACCATCAACTTATACTGCACAAATGCTTTTCTCTTCACTGACTCATTCACCTGCACATCTACCAATGTAATACAGGCAGTCCCCGGGTTACGTGGATCCGACTTATGTCGGATCCCTACTTAACGATGACAAAAAGTTCATTTAGGGCTAAGCTTTTTGCTTCCATTTCTAACAGCAATGATATAACGGAGATATATTAATTCATGTATACAGGCAGTCCCCGGGTTACATGGATCCGACTTACATCGGATCCCTACTTACAAACGGGGTGAGGCAACCCCGCACTAGCTGCTTCCCCCCAGCAGACCAGGGAGACGTGGAGCGGCTTTTCTCAGCAGACACCTCCGCTTGAGAATAAAGGACTGAGGGAAGTGAGGTGAGGGAGAATAAAACTGAGCTCTGGAGAAACGTTTGGCTAGAGTTTCCCCTACAATATGTACCAGTTCCGACTTACATACAAATTCAACTTAAGGACAAACCTACAGTCCCTATCTTGTATGTAACCCAGGGACTACTTGTATTCAGCAAGGACTAACACAGAGGTATAGAAAACATCTTCCCATAGTTTACTTGCAACAAGGGTTTCACTTGCAGCAAGGGTTTTATTTTTTTCTGACAAACAGGTCAGGGCAAGCCACTTTCCCAACCAAGTGACCTTTGTCTTATCTCAAATGTTATAGGCTTTTATAGATCCCAGGCCAATCCCCCATCTCTCTCTCAGGGGAACTGTTATATAGTCTAGCCTATTTTTTCCCATGAAACATGACAATAGATTTAAGACACCCCTTTATGTAGCAATGCAAAATAACTAATAGTAACTTCCAAATGTACAAGTTCCTGTATTTGATTAAACACTCTTCCCTCAAGAGGGAGAAAGGGGAGAATGTGGAGACTATACCTGAATTGCCCTCCAGACAGAACAATGATACTAAATTGAATGTGGACTAATACGAATACTGCAATGGGGCTGGGATTTTTAGATCTTTCAGGGGTACATGCTGAAGGACAGTGTCTATGTCAAAGGACCCCATGCCTCACTGTAAGCACTCAGTGATAGAAATAATCGATAACCATGGGCTAAAAATGTGTGAGGTTTATGTATTTATTTAGGCATGTTAATTTTGTGGGATGAACAGGGCAAGTTTTAAATATTTAGTCTTCGTGTGAAATTGTCATGCTATGTCCACTGTCTGAAATCTTGTTACTGTTGATCTGATCCTTTAATATTTGTGAGACTATGTATGGGTATGTCTACACTACAAAGTTAGTTTGAACTAACGGACGTTAGTTTGAACTAACTTTCATAGGCGCTACACTAGCGCTCCGTTAGTTCGAATTTAATTCGAACTAACGGAGCGCTTAGTTCGAACTAGGTAATCCTCATTGCACGAGGATTAAGCCTAGTTCGAACTAGCTAGTTCGAATTAAGGGGTGTGTAGCCCCTTAATTCGAACTAGTGGGAGGCTAGCCCTCCCTAACGGACGTTAGTTTGAACTAACTTTCATAGGCGCTACACTAGCGCTCCGTTAGTTCGAATTTAATTCGAACTAACGGAGCGCTTAGTTCGAACTAGGTAATCCTCATTGCACGAGGATTAAGCCTAGTTCGAACTAGCTAGTTCGAATTAAGGGGTGTGTAGCCCCTTAATTCGAACTAGTGGGAGGCTAGCCCTCCACAGGTTTCCCTGGTGGCCACTCTGGCCAACACCAG